GCTGTTCGGCCTCTTCCTGCCATTTGCCCCTTCCTCCCTCGCTGTGCTGTTCGGCCTCTTCCTGGCCCTGTGCCCCTGGCTGGCCCTCCCAGCCTCAGTAATCAGACCCCCGCATCAGGGTTCTTGGGAGAAATATGTGAGTTCCTACGTGCGAAAGACGAGAACACTGTCACACAGGGAATGATAAATGTCCGCTGCTGTTTCTGTTGGACATGCACATTTTGCAAGCACCGTCAGGAATCTGACTTCATGTACTCCTTGCCGTGGCCCCAAGAAGTCATCCCCATGTAGTGGGAGCGGGAACCAAGGGGACAGGGCAGCCAGGCTGAGAAGAAGCACCCACTGTCTCCTCTCCCCAGTGCCTGGAGCGAGCCATGAAGTTTGCGTTTGGAGAATTTCACCTTTGGTACCAAGTGGCCCTCTCCATGGTGGCGTGTGGGAAGGTAAGGCCCAGGTGCTGGCACTGCAGTGCCCGCGGGCAGCTCTTCCCTTCACCCCACCTCCCTGAGCAGGCGGCGACCCAGAACTGCCCCACAGCAGCAGCGGGTGTGTCACCAGGAGAGTGGGTATGGAGCGCCACGGGCGTGAAAGAGACACCGTGTGAGTCCACGCGCGTGTGTGCGCTGCACGTGTGCCCAGGGGCAAGTGTGAGTGCAGATGCCCTTCTCAGCATGGTGCATACTGCAGGCACTGCGGTGCTCCTGCTGTGCACTGGGGTACAGCTGCATGGCCGTGTTGGCGAGGGCAGGGCCCTTCTCTGCCACCAACTGTGGCTTCGTGAGAGGGCCTGCCTGTGACTTAGGTGCTCGCCTTGGGGAGAAGGGGCAGGGGGCACGCAGGAGCAGCAGCAGAGGGGCATGTGGAGGGAGACCTGCATGGTGGATGGAGCCAGGGTTAAGGCTGCACAGCCCGCTACAGGGAGCAAGGGACACGGGGGCACCCTTCGCTCTCCATTCACCCAGCCCATCGGCCAGCACCCGTGTTGCCCTGAGAGCAGAACTGTGCTTATATAAGTCTATTTTAAGCAGTGGCATGAAAGGAAAACCTTTCCGGAGCTGAGTGCGGAGGGTGGTGGGGCTGAGGCTGCTCCAAACACAGGAAGTAAGGTGGCAGGAGCTTACAGGTGGCTCTGAGAGCTGTAAATACTCAGAGCCCTCCCGTGGGGCTAAGGGAATCCCTCGCCCCCGGCCCGTCTGTGCCCTGTTCCATTCCTGGCCCCGCAGCCGTCTCTGAGGAGGGCCCTCCCCGTGTGCCAGTGCCGCCTCCATGAGTGGAAGGTTGCCAGCCAGCTCAGCCTCAGCAGTGGGTCTCGCCAGGCCCTGGCATACAGGGAGAGGCAGGGCACCATGGAGATCGGAGGCACTTTCCCATCCCCTTCTGCTGGGCATGTGTCTCTCTAACCCTCCATGTCTCGTGTGGGCCACTGCCAGAGCACCTAAAGTCATAGCATGGGCTCCTCGCAGGTGCCCGTCCTGTTGGAGTGAAGGGTCCCCAGACTGGGGCCAGGAGTGGCCTGCGGCCAGGGTAGTGGTTTGCAGCTCTCTGTGGGTTCTGGACCTTCAGAGGAGTTAAAGAAAGCTGGAGACTCTTCGTCATAAAAGTACACTGCACATGGAAATTAACTTTAATTTTTAAGGAAAGTTCTGGAGTCCCCCAGGTTCAGCAAAAGATATCATGGTCACCTGGGAGAGAAAGCCTCTTCCATCTCTTAACAAGAAGCAGCAAGGTCCAGAGAGATCTGGACACAGCCTAGCTCCCTCCCAGTATCAAGCAAACTGATTGTCCAGCCTGGCTTCTTCCTGAGCCGGCAGGGTAAGGAACCAGCTTACAGACAGGCATTTGAGTCTAGTGACTTCTTCCTGCGTGAAGCTCTTCAGGTGGAGACACTGGACCCTGCCCACCTATGTGCCTAGTGCAGCACAAGGTTCTGGAAACCCTCTCCACCTCCCACCAGGGGTCCAGCATGACGTATTAGCCAGCTGGTGCCCAAGCAGCCCTCAGGGGGGTGTCCAGAGCTTGCCTTTGCCAAGAGCCCAAGGTGAAAATCCAGAATCTGCGCCTTCCAGGTGAGGCTGGGCAGATACGAATATGCCTGGCCTTTCACCCTCCGGGAACAACAGATGTATCCCATGGCATGATGTAGGTCTTCTCTTGGTCTCTATGCAGTAATTGCATTGGCTATGTTGCTAGGTAACCAACATGACAAGAAAAAAAACCCAGAACCGGCTGCAGCGTCTGTTGAGTCCTCAGATGGCTCCTTCAGTAGCAGTATTTTTGGGTTTGCGTAGGGGTGGGCTAGGAAGGGTAGGGTGGAATGAGGATGGTCAGCCTGAGAATTCCAGGGTTCAGGGGGCCCAGGGTCAGCTGCCCAAGGAGGCTGAGGTGCTGCCTGGAGCTTTCAGGGCGTGCCCTGGAGCAGCGTTGCTGAAAAGGGTCCCCAGACAGCCCTGCACACTCAGCCTGCCCTGAGCACCCTGCGCAGGCACCCATCCTGTGGAGTCAGGCGTTTGCTGGCATCCTCTGTGCCCCTCCTCCTATTCCCTTGACTTATGAGAGCGCAGTAGGGGATAGTGGCATTTGTCTTTGACTGCCAGGCTTTCTGAGCTCTCTTAGGGATGAGAGCCATGGCTTTAGCCCCCTTTCTACAATGATGTCACACCCGCTGGCCCAGGATTGCAGGTGGCCTCATGACCTAAAGTATATTAATCCTTTTTCTGTTACTATAATAAAATGCCTGAGGCTGGTACATTTATAAGGAAAAGCAATTTATTGAGCCTGCAGGGTTGTTATTCAGGGACTTGGTGTGGCATGGGCTCTGCTGTAGTAGGGACCTCGTGGCAGATGTCATCCTGGCCAGATGTCATCCTGAGTGTGTGCTGGTGGCAGAAGTCACACGGTAGGATGGAAAGCCAGAGGGGAGAGACTCGCTTTGTTCTTGTGGTAGTACTATTCCTACAGGAGCTTCCAGGATCCCACAAGAATTACATCCATTCCTACCGAGGGCAGCGCTGCAGGGACCTGGCTAGGTCCCCTTAGGTAAAGGTCCTAACCACCTCAGTGCTGCTGCCGGAGACCCAGGCTCCGGACGCGCTCCAACCATGACCAGGCAGTAGCTATTCTTGGTCAGCTCTGCTGTTGCTAGAACAGAAAAGGGACGCCCACGACGCAAAGCAGGAGAGGTCAGCTCTGGTCAGCATTTCAGAGGCCTCGGTGTGTGCATGATTGGCTGGGCCCAAGGCGGAGATGGCCAAGGGGAGGGGCCTGGTGCAGAGCCGCCGCCTCACAGTGACCAGCACGCACAGGGAGAGAAGGGACCAGAAATGCCCTTGCGTCACGGCCCGGTGACCAGCCCCTCTGAGCAGCTCCAAACGCATGAGACCTTCGGGGGCATCTTAGATCTAAGCGGTGACAAACACCGCACCAGAGTTCAGGGAAATCTGGGGCAGCGGAGCTCCCTCCATGGGGTGGGCACAGTCCAGCTGGAGCCCATTTGTGCGTCTGCCAGCCACTCAGACCCTGCCGGGCGAGGTGAGCCTCCTGGAGCCCCCTGTCCTGGGTAAGCACCCCAAGAAATGGGGGCTCGGCCTATCACAGTACTAGTTGCACACACACCTATGCCAGGGTCTCATGGGTGGAGCAGTATAGCCGAGTGTCCTGGAAAACGTTAGATTCAGTCAGAAAGTTCTAGCCCTGCAGCGCTCATGCACGAGTGCACGGCAGGAAAACCAGCCTCTCTGGCGAAGAGCAGCACCGCAGAGGCCGTGCGAGGCTAAGTTTTTCGGGTTGGACTGCGCAGATCCAGCTGAGCCCCTCAGGCTGCCTGTGTTCTGCCTCTGCTTACCTTTGCTTGCCTGTAGAGCAGGGTGGCAGTCCCTGCCTATGAAAATTCAGAGTGTGAATCAGTCAGAACGGAGGTCCACAGATCTGCCAGGTCAGGCAGTAGACGTGATTGCCTCTGCAGGCTGATCTGTCACAGGTCCTTCACTCTTCTGTATTGTGCAGGCGGCCACAGGTGATGTGTCCGTGAACATGCACGGCTGAGTTCCGGGCTGACTTGCTGTACAGTAACAAGCAGAGGGTCAGACCTGGCCTCATCTAGCCTCAGAACGTTGCCGTTTCTGTCGGTGTTGGTAACGGCTTGCCTGCCCCCAGATGATCACCCTGCTGGGTGATCCCTCCACACTTGGCCAGGTCCCTGGGGTCCCAGGGGACCCTGCAGTCCTGCGCGGAGATTGTCTCAGGCCCCGCCAGCTTGGCGTCTCCCCTCTGTCCCTGCCATTCTTGTGTGCCCTCCAACTCCGACTGGCCTGGTGCCCCTTTAGAGAGCCCCTTCTACCTCTGGAATGGTTCACATTTGTCTTCCTTTTGGAGAGCTTCTATCATTGTCGCCTTAGCTATCGCTGTGTCACCTTCTCCCTGCCCTCTCTAAGGAGGCTGGCTCTCAGGCAGGGGCCTCTCCCCACTGTGGTCTTCACAGCAGCATTCCCCAGGTGTGGAAATGGAACCCTAGGGAAGGGCCTGCCTGCCAGCACCCCTAGGCTCCTCCGCTGGGCCTCTTCCTGAGACTCGGGAGGGAAGGCACGGAGTAGGGACTGGTTGCTAGGGGGCCTCGTGCCCTGGGCACAAGGCACCATTGTGGAGACCTCCCGCCAGTGACAGTGTCCCTGCTCTTGCTTCTGCAGTCAGCCCACGCGGTGTCGCTGCTCCGGGAATGCACGAAGCTTCGGCCCTCAGACCCCACCGTGCCCCTGATGGCTGCCAAGGTCTGCATTGGGTCCCTGCACTGGGTGAGTGTGCTGTGTGCTGGGCAGGCAGGGAGGAGGGGCAGGGGGGCGAGGGGTACCTGGCTTGGTGTGGAGGTGAGGCTGCCAGCTGCGTGTGTGGTTGGGGAAAGGTTTCTCAGGACCCACTGCCCATCCTCCATGGTAGGTCCCCACTCAGGATGGCGGCAGGTCTGTGTTCTGCCCTGAACTCTGGTCTCCAGAGTAGCAGATGGCAGGAACATATGATGCCCTCTACACAGCAGTGGGGTGGTAGGCACAGCGTTGGAGCTGCCAAGCACGACACCTCATCGCAGGGGTCCTAGAGTGGGTGCTTTGTCTGAGCGGCTCCTGCTGACTTCTTCTTTTTTTTTTTTTTGGATTTTTAGGGAAGGGTCTACAGGGTGTTCAGGGTCTCACTGCTAGATTGGACTCGTAGTGATCCACCTGTTTACAGCTTCCCAACAGCTTGGATTACAGGTGCATGCTACTGCACCCAGTCTCAATTGCTATCTAATCATGCCCCAGGGCCAGAGCCAGCACAGCAGGCCTGGGGATCAAACCCCTGGCCCCTGCGCCTGCTTGCAGGTGCTTTAATCTGCTGAGCTATTTGGCCAGCCCCTACCTGCTGACTTTTTTTTTTTTTTTTTTTTTTTTTTTGGTGGAACCGGGGATCGAACTCAGGCCCTTGCACTTGCCAGGAAAGCAGTTATTCCTATTCCACTGACCCATCTCCCTGGTCCTACCTGCTGACTTCTATGGCCTGAGACCTGCGCTCTGCCCCTCGCTGCTGTGCACAGCTGGCTCTAAGGCAGCAGAGGCCTCATTGTCAGCAGCGTCACAGTACCTCCTGCCACTTTCTCCTCTTCTGCATGCAGCAGACGAACCACTGCACAGGAAAGGGGTGATCAGATCCCTTCCAAGTCTGCTTTGTCCCTACACAGGAAACTGAGCCCATCCCTCCCCTTTTCTCTCGTGTGCTCAGCTCCCCTGCATTAGAAGTGCGTGCCCTGGGCCCCCCTGGCCCTGCTCAGAGCAGAGCCCCAGACTGAGAAGAGGGGAGAGTTAATGAGCCTGCGCCTTTCTGGGCACTGGGCTTCCGGAAAGGGTGTGTGACAAGGCAATTTCACTCCTACCAGTGGCCTTGAGTAAGGCGTGGAAGTCTGTGGGATGGTCTGGAGGCTTCTGGGCAAGGTGGCTTTGCACAGGAACCTCAGGGTGGGGAGGACATAGATAGGCTGTGACAGAGCTTTCTGTCACAGCTTGCCTCCCCCAGCCCTGCCATCAGGGAGTCTCCCCAAGACTGTTGGGAAGGCGGTAGGCATCTCAGGCAGGATGCCATTCCGGGCAGACCAGGAGTGTGGGAGGCTTGTGGGTGCAGGCAGGCTGAGCATGCACCGCAAAAGAAGCTGGTGGGCGCTGGAGGGAATGGAGGAGGCTCTGCAGCCCCCAGCTCAGACCACTGCTTGCTCCGGGCCTCCTGAGAGGACCCTCAGAGTCACGGCCGAGATGAAGCCTGAAATACCCTCATCTCTAGGGCCTGGGGGAGGGTTCTCCAAGGCTGCCAGCTCCAAGGGAGCTCTGGGTCCACCCAGCCAGCAAACCCTTGCCAGGAAGCCCTAAATTTAGGTCTTCCCACCATGGAGGAGCTGCTTCCCTCCACAGCATAATTACAGTAATTATGTGCATCAGATTACATGGTAATAAGATTAGGATCAAATCAGTCCAAATTGAAATCAGATGAGTTAGGAGCAAAGTAATCAATGACAACATAAATAGGCCCAAAAGGAAGCTTAAACATGCAGGCTTGTCATCAGGTCGGAGAGAGGGGCGAGAGGTATAACCCGCACTCAGAGCATATGGAGCGCTGGGCAGCTTGGAACTGGCATTTACATGGGCACGGGCTGGTGGCGGGTGGGCTGCCCGCAGCTTCTGCAGCCCAGATCAGCCCCTCCTGCTCCTGAGGCCCCACTTGTACCCACCTTGGACACTGATCCCCTGCGTTATGACTCATTACTTGTTGAAGGCAAGACTGCCTTCCCTGAAAACCTGCCCAAGCTGGGGGTGGGGATCCTGCTGGCCCAGAGCACAGTTTTGTCACCAGCCTTGTGTGGCCCCTGCTTCCAGTTAGGTGAGGCTCCGTCCATTCTACTTGGCACACCTTACACACAAGGGAAGTCCACATGGAGGTGGCACACGCCCCACCGGCCAGGGTGGGAACAGTGACCTGCTCTCCACGGCTAGTTCTGCCTCCTCATGGGCTGGCCCAGAGAGCCTGTTCTCCAGGTAGACCCAGGAGGGAGGCGGCCTGTGTGTTCTGTCCCTGAGGCTGTAGCAGCGGAGTCTGCCCATGAGAAGGGGCCTAGAAGCTAGTGAGGCAGGGTGTAGCTCTGGGAGAGGGTGGGCACCCTGTCCTCCACCTGCCTTCCCAACTCCAGCTCAGTAGCCAGGCCCTGTGAGCTGGGGACAGAAACCTGGGGGTGGACCACGGGGCCTGAGTTATAGGAAGGGAGGCTGAAACTGGGACATTTAGAAAACGAGTTTTGCCAGGCAGAACCAGCCTAGTGGCCTTGCATCCAGGGGTGGAACGTCTGCTGTACCTGCATCTTGTCCTTGTGCCCAGAACCTGTGTGGGTCCAGGCTGGGCTGGATCTGAGACCGAGGTCCTCCAGCTGGGGTCAGCAGAGGGACTGGCACGGTCACCTGCTGGCTGCAGGGTGGGGGTGGCGAGCATGAGGCTCTCTGGGATGTGGGGGACTTGCCGGGTTCTGAGCCCAGTGACAGTGCTGAAGCCAGTGAGGCCTGCAGGCAGCTGGCCTCCTTCGACATGGTCAGCACTAGCCAGGTCCCCATTTTTGGAGTAGGAAAAGAGGTTCAGATGTGTTTTAGTATCCCTCCTGCCACATTTACTTAAAATTCATTGGATTCCAGAAGTTGAAAGTGCCCTGCAGGCAGCATTGGGGTGGGCTGCACTGTGTGCTGTGTTACACACAGATGGCAGAAGAGGCTGTCAGGTGGGACTTGGGCTTGCCCTGCTCTCGGAAGGGTTGCCACGTGGCTGTCATGGGGCACGGGT